GCATGGATGTTGAGGTCCCCCAGCACCAACAGCCTGGGAGTCCTCAACACCAGGTCCGAGACTACCTCCGTCAGCTCAGGTAGGGAGACTTTTGGTACGCAGCAGGGTGGGCGGTACACCAACAGCATCCCTAATCTGTCTCGCAGGCCCAACACACAATACAGCCCCTCAAGACCTCCTCTCAAAGGGATAGGAAGCCTGGTCAAGGAGATAGAACTCCTATAGACTACAGCAACTCCCCCTCCCCAACCCTCTGAGCGACACTGGTGCTGGACCGAGTACCCAGGTGGACACAGCTGGAAGAGGGGGACACCACCTTCCTCTCCCACCCAGGTCTCAGTAATGCATGCCAGGTCAGCACCCTCATCCAGAATTATATCATGGATGAGGGCAGTCTTATTTTGTACTGACCTGGCGTTCATCAACAGCACCGTGTGGCTCGAGGGTTTGCTGACATGGTCACCTGATACCATCTGGTTGGGGGCAGGACTAGAAGAGGGGATAGATGTAAGGTATCTAACCTCTCTTCTCCTACGCAGGCATGTTCTACCCCACCGCCATTCCTTCCCTTACCCAGCACCACCTCAATGGCTGCCCCCTCCAATGCCCTCGAAGTATCAGAGCCCATTTTGGAATGGAGCGAAGGAGTAGAATGCCCCGGAGTGGTAGCTGAGACTTGTTCTGGTAGGTCTGTTGCTGAGTGGGGGATCTCAGCAGGAGCCGCAGCACTGGGATTCATGGTGGCTTCCCAAAGATGAGACCTCAATCTCTGGAGTCTGTGTTTTAGCAACAGCTTGGTAAAACTTTTACAAGCTGCGCATGACTGGGTCTGATGTTTCTCGCCCAAGCAAAATAAGCACTTGTCGTGGCCGCCTGAAGATGGAATTTTGCTATTGCAGCCGATAGTACTTGAAAAGGGCTGAAGAGGCCATAAAGGGCAGGGAAAAAAATGGATGGGAGTCCAAGGGGTAGGGGAAGGTGGCTTGAGGTAAAAATGGCGATCGAAGAGAAAAATCAACTCATGGGAGATCAAAATAAGAAGCTGCTGATTGCAGATTAAAGTGTATAATTCGTAATCATCAAGTATATAGTAGCACAAAGGCCTAATAATCGCTCTCTTTCTTCCGCAGAACCTTTCAGCACGGCGGAAAAAAGGAACTGAGAGGGGAGGCGAAGGGGAGGAGCATTGCCTCATGGGAGATCATACAATAAAATTGTTACTTTTAGCTCTAGAATCTTCCGAGATCGTCGGCGCGGGCGTGGACAATACCCATATGTGTGCATTCACAGAGGTCATGATGAAGCACTCAAGCTTAAATTGAAGAAAGTATATAATCTAAACCAAATCCCTTATGAATACACAATGGAAGTAATGAACAGATTTAAGAAACTAGAATTGGTGGACAGAGAGTCTGAAGAACTATGGATGGAAGCTCGTAACATTGTACAGAAGGCAGCAATAAAAACCATCCCAAAGAAAAGAAAATGCAAGAAAGCAAAGTGACTGTCCAGTGAGGCCTTACAAATAGCAGAGAAGGGAAACAAAATGCAAGGGAGATAGGGAAAGCTACAAAAATTGAATGCAGACTTCCAAAGTATAGCAAGGAGAGACAAGAGGGCCTTCTTAAATGAACAGTGCAAATAAATAGAGGTAAATAATAGAAAGGGAAAAAACAGAGATCTGTTCCAGAAAATTGTAGATGTTAAAGGAACCTTTCATGCAAAGATGGACAAGATAAAGGACAAAAATTGGAGGGACCTAACAGAAGCAGAAGATATCAAGAATTATACAACAAAGATCTGGATGTCCTATACAACCCAGATAATGTCGTTGCTGACCTTGAGCCAGACATCCTGGAGAGTGACATCAAGTGGGCCTTACAAAGCATGGCTAACAACAAGGCCAGTGGAGGTGATGGCATTCGAGTCGAACTATTTAAAATCTTAAAAGATGATGCTGTTAAGGTGCTACACTCAATATGCCAGCAAGTTTGCAAAACTCAACAGTGGCCAGAGGATTGGAAAAATCAGTCTACATCCCAATCCCAAAGAAGGGCAGTGCCAAAGAATGCTCCAACTACCGTACAATTGCACTCATTT